CCTCTCTCTGCTTGATTTCAGCCATGGGCTAAGTTTCAGCCTGTAGCTCCAGCCCACAGGGGAAATTTCTTTGCTCATCTACCCTGCTTGTTGCTTCTCAGGAGCTAGAAAAATAGGTGCTGTAGCAGCCTGTTCAAAGCAAGACACCAGCCTGACCCACCTGCGTGCCTGAGTGGATGTTATTTTAATTCACAACACGAAAGACTAAGAAGGATCATAGACCACGACAAAGTAGGACCTATACCTTCACAGAAGGGAGGTGCTGTCCAATTTCCTTCTCTGCATATAATTTCTGGGGGACCAACAATCAGGAACCCTGCATCACACTGGTAGCGAATTGTTTCACCAGGCTCATAAATTTCCTTGTTTCTGCCTTCAATTTGAGTATTGGCAACTTTTGGAATACTTCCGCACGGCATTTCTGAAAAGATACACAGAGTTGATGCTTGTGCTAATGTGATACTCATAGGATGAGTGTACTGTTTCCACTAAAGAGTTGGAAAGAGATGCTTTAGAGAGCTTTTTCCAACATCACTATAGTCATCCACTGACAGCAGGTTCTAAATAAAAGGTAGCATAAATAAGTCATTCCCCTAAATACCCATGGACTTTAGTCACTGACATACTTAGATCCTGTTTCTAACCATGCCAGAAAATTTTAATAAAGCCTTCTGTCCCTTACTACACAGAAGTGGTTTCCATCACTGAAGCACCAAACTAACTCCTAGTCACTAGTGGGTTCTATACAAAACAGGTCCTTGGAATATAAGGACTCACCTGGTAGAGAGAGAAACTGATCAAAGAGTGCCAAAATGCAAAGGAATATGCAAAAATTAAACTGCATTCAAAAAGCCAGTCTTGCATCAGAATTGCTCTGAAGATATCCATGAGGGATTAGAAGATTCCACAGCAAAATATGGAGTTACCGGCTCTTACTAGCCAACCTCTAGTTTAAAATTCTTTCACTTCCATTGCTAAATGCACTTCAGAAAAAGCGTTTTTCGCTATTACCCATGCATGTAGGAGCTGAAGTCCAGTTTCCCTTGGAACAAGTTATCTCTGATGGTCCATCTAAGATGTATCCAGAACGAGAAACATACTTAAATCTAGCACCAGCCAGATAAATTGTTTTCCCTTCTTTTTTACTTTTGAAGTTTTGATTTTCCAGCCTGGGAACATCAGCACATTCTATGGGTTGTGGTGGCAAGCATGATCTTTCTATGAAATGCAAAAAACACAGACAAAATATGATGCTAGACAATCACTACTCCAATGACATATGTCGTCTAAAACTGAAAAGAAAAAAAAAAAAATCATCCAGACATAAATTAAATGGTATGAAATGAAGATGAAGAAATATCTAAGATACACAAACCAAAACTTCTCTCTCCTCTTCCTCCTACATGGGGTTTATTTCTTTTCCTTTGAAACAAGTTAAAGCCATTTTCCAGTTCATATCAAGGAGACACACTTACAGCTTAGCATCAAGAACAGGGAAAATTTCATAGGCAGAGAAATAGAAGAGACATTATCATGCTTTGGGATACTGAAATTGAGTATCTAGAATGTCAGCTATTACATTTTTCCACCATTAATAAAGTTGTATCAATGTCCCGAGGGGGTTTGTGATGACACCATGAAAAAGAGAACAGAACTTACAAAGTATTATCGTGTACTTCCTGATACATGCAATGGATTAAATCTCCGTGAAGCCCTCCTGAGCCAGGGCTGTCCCAATGCTTTCTTCTCCTATACTACTGTAGAGTGGGTGGACTTAAATTATACTTTATATGCATTCTTAGCTAATGAGTAAATTAAGTTTTATTAGTCGACACATCAAGTTGAAAGCATATGTTTGCACTGAATTCCACAATACAAAAGATCTAATTACAGTCAGAGTTCCGGTTCAGTAACCAGGACTGGAAATTTTATTTCAGTAAAAGCTGTTTTATGAACAGTTCAAGCATTTTTTTGGTTATTCTTCTCTATGTCTGCCACTTACCAGCAGAAATGGAGACACACAGGCAATGCAAAAGAGGAGAAACCACACTGGAATTTTTAAGCTTAAAAATGTAGACGTGGTTGGCAGTTGTGCATGTCAATCACCAGCTGGCACCTCATATTTCCTGTTCTCATCTATCTCCTGTTCATTTCTGAAAACACTTCATTCTATCTCTTAATGAACTTCTGCTTACAAGAAATCACCTGCATCAGTAATACTTTAACAATCGGATTACAGATTCTTCAGCATTTCTTACAATAGAAAGCCTGCGTTAAGCCGTATCATTAATAGTCCTAATACAGGAAGAAACCACAAAAAGAAAAGGAGAAAAATCAAGAAAGAATAAAAATGAAAAACCCCAAATATTGTTCCTACTAAAACTAAATAATAAATAATACTGGGTGGGGTTTTTTTGTTTTTTTAACCAGGATAATATTAAAGGTCCCTAGTCAAAACTGAGACTCCATTCTGCAATATACTAAATAAACAAATGAACACACAGCTCTTGAGGGACTACCTGAAATTTTTATATGCCATCTTAGATAAGTCTGTGTAAATAAAAAGACTTACTGTCCAGCAGTTGGTTAACTGCATTTTCTTTAGGAACTAACGTTCTATTGCTTTTCTGCAGTTACTTTTTCATGATAATCTTAACATAAATAATATCCTTCTGCTAATGATGGCTGCAAATATGTAACACAGAAACTCATAATAAAGCAAATAGAAAGAAATAATCCACTACTGACCCACACAGTAAGGTGGTGATTGCCATTTCCCTTCTATACATGTTATTTCATTCGCACCGATGAGCTGGAAACTCTCCAAACATGAAAAAGTTATTTTACTCCCATTCTTGTAATTTCTTCCAATTGTTATCTCTTGAGCACCAGGCACCTGAGGTGGAGGTGGGCATGTACTCTCCTCAGCTAAGGACACATACTCATGTTAGAACAGAACATAAGATAAAATGTAACAGTTCATCACAGATTAAAACAGTAACAAACAAGAAAACACTGGTGATAATTCTTCAGTAGCTATATCAAGCTTTAAGTAATACCATGATCATTTTGTTCTGCTTCAGAAACACCAGAGCTGCCTTCAGATGCTCATATGCTTTAAGATTCATAGAAAAGACAGTCACAGACAGTTGACTACACCAATCTGAGATGGAGCTTCTTGCAGTCCCTCCTTTCCCTTACACACCGCTACATACTCCTGTATGCTCTCCCCACTCCTCTCTGTGGTGAAACACTTTAGGAAAACTGGACCAACTTCGGGGGTTCTTGTTGTGTTTTGTTGTTGTTTTTTTCTTCAGACTTAACTGATAACAAAGTTAAATGAGAATCATACAAGGAAACAAATAAATAAACTTCAATTTTCTCACCCAGGGAGCAAAGGGCTGCTCCTGCCAAAGGAAAGGAAAAATAAGAGAAAGAGGTAGAAGTAGAAAGGAGGAGATCTCAAGAGCTTGGTTTGTTGCTTCTAGCGGTTTCAGAAAACTGGGAAGGCAGGGACACTTGGTTTTGAAAGGGAATGCTCCCTTGAGTGACTGCCGCTCTGTGTACTTCTCCCTCTTCCATACATCAATTCCCATGAATCTGGCATAATCAAAGCAGGCAATGAGGCAATGATTGTTTTACAATCATGCCTCCTACAGGAAATATCCTGCTCTGTTATATGTTAAGGCAGCCCTGCAGGCATTTGACATTTGGTGTGTCTTAGAAAAGGGCAGTCTGCTCTAGGTCTGTGTTTTTGAGTTGGCCAACTCAGGTTTTTTCTTGTTATGTCACGAGGAAGTAATTGGAAAAACAAAATAGAACGAAAAAAACAAGACAAACCAGGAATAGACAAGTTTTGAATGTTTACAGGAAATAAAGGAACTTTGGTTGGAGCTTGAGCTATGTGCTACTCTCATTTGTACCATGGTAGAGCCCTTTTGAAGAACTGAGCTTAAATTTACCATTGCATCTTTTCTCACATCAGAAGTGAAAGTGACAACTGTTCCAATTGTCAGAGTAGAGATTATTAAGTCTGCCTCACTAAAACAGTGTGTCTCTAAACCTACTTAACTGTTTAATTTCTGTAATTATTCATTACTATCCTTTAGCATACAATCAAGTAATCATATATATAAGCATGTAAGCATTTCTGTTTTCAGACTAGTAACATGGCAATGCTAAGAAGCTTAATGAAGAGCATTTATCATTCCTACATAAAAAGAAGAAATTGTATGCAAATCTAAAAACAGACCTGTACATTCAATCTCTGGTGACCATTTTCCAGACACACAAGTTGCCTGTTTAACAGTCCTGCCACCTGATCTACATCTATAACGTATAACTCCATGGGACCTAGTCTCCTTTTTTGGCTTGGAAAGACGACCATTGTCCACAAGCTCAACAGTCAGTGGAGGTACACACTGAGGAGATGGATCTGGAAAAAATCAACAAAACAAGCTAAAAATAGATGTAGTTCAGATAATATGTACATATGCATTCACTGATGAGGTGATCAGCAGTTGCCTAATGCATGTCCATGTGAAAGTGTTTTTTCATTTACTGTAGTTTGAAGTAACTCCTAAGATTCCTAGATTACAGAAACAGAATTATTTTTTGTTCCTGCCATCTAAAGCAGAGACTATTACCACTCACAAAGCAATTATTTTTATGTTGACAGGATTCTTTTTGCTGAGTGCAGTAAAAAATATAAAAAAATGAGCATTTTTTTTTTGTTCCCTAAAACTATAAAAAAGTAGTAAGAGGAGCAAGAGAAACCTTCTTTTGCTTGTAGAAACAGAAGCATAAAGGAAGTACTGCTTGAGAACAAGTATGTGTCAGGTATTAATCTACTGTGGAAGCATGTCTAAGATAGCCAGGCCTTGTGTCCTTGGCTGGTGATTCTGAGAGTCAGAACATAAGCTACTTGTGAAAGCCAAGCAGACTGTGTTTTGTGCCAGATTCAATCCTCAACATAACTGTAAATAAAGGTATAGTGTCAAATCACTCAAATCACTGATGAACATAAAATGACTTCTGAAGAAAGGGGGAACCAAGAATTGGATATATCATAAACTATATTCTGTTAAAGATAAGTGAAGTGCTAGAATAATTTATCCAGACAAGACTCCTTCCTGTCCATTATCACTTTTTACCTTAATTACTGACTTCAATGTATTTTTTTTTCTTTTTCTTAGGAAAAGCATGGTAAGATGAGAAAAAAGAGAAAACCACTGATCAGATAAGAAAAGGACTAATCAACATAAAAATGGTGAGGATGGGATAAGCCTGGCACACTGTGTGGCTATGAATATTATTTTTAATTCTCAGTAGGATTTTAAAAAAGCAAAGTAGTATACAGAGACATAAAACTACAAGCAGTTAATGCATCAGGCATACTACTTTATTGCAACTATGTCCCAAGGCTTCTGAAGGGTTGTTATTGTGGAGGAACACTGGAAAATGGGTAAAAGTCACTATATACCAAAGACATACCCCCATACTTGATTCTACCCACTGTGCAAGTGTCCATTTCCTTCCCAAATATGCTCAGAGTGCTTACAAAATTGTAGGTGCAGAGTCTTTCCAGAATGAAGGACATGTTCACATTTAAAAGAGGAGTAAATAAAAAAAAAACTAGTTGAGATGCACAAAACTATATTATCTCTGGCTACACACTGATTGCTGAAGTCCTTGAAATTTTGAATAGAACTATGTTACACCCATATCTGAAATATTATGGAAATATTATGGAAATAGATTACCGGCACAAAGAGGTAAAGGCTTCCATTCCCCATTAAGACATTTTATTTTCATTTCCTTAGAATTGCCAGAGCCTCGTTTACATCCACAAATTACTTCATCACCATGTGAAAACTGGGCATGGTCTTCCTGACGAAGAACAACATTTGGAATAGAGGAAGGTGATCCACATGGCATTTTGTCTTCTGTTGAAAAGAGCAGAAGTATTCCACAATAATATTGGAATCATATATAAATAGCTGAAAGAACTTAAATAAAAATAACTATGTCTGTGTTTGGTGAGTCAAACCTACTCCCATTAATTGCAACAACTAAACTTCAGCACAGCTGGGGTATGCATATGTTTCAGTCAGTTTACTGAATTCCTCTCCTGTCTTCTCCCTCCCTTTTGCATCACTGTAGTAACTCCACAGAATGCTCCACAAGTAGTTTCAGCCAGCACTAATTTCCCAAACTATTTTTCATTGGTACATAAACCTAAAGTGTAAGAAAACCTTCAATTAATCCAACTCACCTGGATCCCTGAGTAAAATCAATCCAACTCACCTGGATCTCTGCTTCTGGTTGCTCAAAATTATATTTGATTATATGCCTACACATTTGTAATGTGTACTTTCAGTCAGCATTATTACAAGCACTAAAAACCACTTTAATACCACTTAGAGGTCTGCAGCACTGCCAACTCAGTGTGATAACAGCAGCTGCTGTTTTGGGTTGTCACTATTGCAGGGGCAGTGACAGCAAAGGTAATGGCTTGCACAGATGAGTGTAGCATGTGAGTAGTTTCTTTAAAGGACGAAAAAGGCATGTAAGGGCAATAAGGGCATATGGCCTGCTCTTAATGTGGGAGAGGGAAGACCCATGATAAACTCAAAAATTTAATGTGAACAACGCTGCACTCAATTTTGGACCACTCTTTCAAGCCTTGTGCACTGAAACTATTCTCACTGGATCAAGGACTGAAAAGATGCAAGCTCTGTGCTGTACATTTTTAAACCATTGGTGTTGCTCATGGAAGATGTGTCAGAATGTATATGTATAGGAACAGAGTAAAGCAAACCCACCACTTCTTGGTTCTGCTGTTAGATCATCCCGCACCATAAGAACGTCCTGAATTATTTTCTGTATTTACAGATTTTTAGCTTGAATATTCCGTTCTATTAAAATCTGAGACACTGTCTTAACAAACAAATAGTAGCTTTGCCCAAGTATGTCTTAACTTCTGTTATTGAGATTCATACCTCAGGTTTGAAGTGGGTGCTTTTCATAGAATCACAGAATCATTTGGGTGGAAAAGACCTTTGAGATCATTGAGTCCAACCGTACTTGTCTACTACTAAACTGTATCTCTGAGCACCTAATCGACCCGTCTTTTCAATACCTCTAGGGATGGTGACTCAACCACTTCCCTAGGTAGCCCA